ATTCAGAATTCAGAAATTGTCATGAGATTTTACAGCTAGCTTTGACTTTTCCATCTTCAAAATATAGCATTTGACTATAATGATTATTATGAGGTTTCTGTTTTCTACTGGTAAGACCTTCGCCCATATGCTTCTGTAAAGCCTGATGCTTTGCAGTCAAAACAATAGTTGTGGACATGGTTGTGTCAGCTGTAGACAGCTGACATCACTGTTGCCATAAAGTTTTTTTTTAATTAAGACATCAGATCAAGATCTCTACTACACCTCAAAGGAGATACAATTTGAGGCCAAGCTTAAGAAACTGATATTACAATTCAGACATTGTCACTGACCGGCTGTATAGCCTTTAAAAAATCAATTCACCTACCCAAGCTTTGGTCTTATTTATAAAAGAAGGGAGATGAGTGAAATGATTTCTAGAGCTGGCTCTGCAATTTGCCAGCTAACTGACCTTGGGAAAATTACATAATATTATGGAGCCTTCATTTGCTCATTTGAGGGTTAAATGAGATGATAAATGTGAAGTAGGTCTCAATAAATAAATGATAACCATAATATTAACAATAATAATAGTTAACACGGAGTATTTACTACATGCTCTGGGCACAGCTCTAAGAGTTTTTATAATAATTCTTTTGATTCTTCCTACAATCCTATGAGGTAGGTATTATTACTATCCCATATTACTGAAGCACAGAGATTAAGTAATTTGCCCAAGATCACAGAATAGCTTTCAAACCCAAGCTGTCTGGCTTCAGGGTCTGTGCTCTTAATCATTTCACTATACTTTTTTTTGGTTATCAGCACTTTTTTCCCTTCTCTGCACCTCTTCTGAGATGCCTTTCAGCTCTGCTTTCATAAAAATACACTAATTAGCTACCCTGAACTCTGACAGGCTAAGCAAAGTTGGCTTCTCTGAGAGAATTACACAAATTCTAAATGTATGGAGGCTTAAATCAGAAAGAACTGTGTCCTGATTCAATACCTATCATCAAATAATTATGTGTTGAATAAAGGAATGAACACAGAAGCTAAAAAGAGGTCAAGTACTATTTGGCTGATCCTTACCATAACCATGACCAGGAATTCACTCATTCAATAAGCACTTCTTGGGTATCTTCTATATGGCAAGCACTGGAAAGCTTACAGCTTAGAAAACTGACATCAGAACACATTCTCCTAAGTCATTATCTGGCAGCCATATTGCAAAGTAAATTTCCACACTGGATGGTAGAAAGCTGGATGAAAACTTTAAAGCATGTTTGTTTTCAGGCAGTAGAGGTCTTTCTCAAATGAAATCTTAGATGAAATGTCAATATATAATACAGACAAAAGCATCTCTGTTCTGGTTGAAGAATGCAGTGAACCTGGAGCCCACTCTTGCTCCACCCATGTCACCTTAAAGACATTTCTGCAGAGTGTCAAGATGGCTCTAAAGCTATTAAACAAAACAATGACAGAATCTCTACCAACTCCAGAATTCAATGGACATCTCTAACAGCAATGGACAGTGATTGTTTACTAATAAAGGTCACTTGATATGGACATGCAGAAATACATGAACATGGTTATGTGCCTGTATGCAAGGTTGGTGCAATGTCTATAGAGATTATTATAACATTGTCAGGCATTTTATAGACATTACCTTTAATTCTAACAACACCAAATTAAGCAGGTATTGACAATTTCATTTCACAAGTGAAGAAAGTTAAGACTTATGTAAAAAATATGAATTCCCAAGGTCATATGGGAAGAGCCCCCTTCCAAAGCCCACAGGGTTTCCCCTGTAGACTAAGGTCAAGTAGTCACCTAATCCAAAGAAGTTCTACAAACAGGAGGAAGACTTTCAATGGCAACATAAGAACAGACAGCTACGCAGGCAACTCACATGTTGTTTCACTGGTCAAAAAGGGTTAACACCTCAACTGGGTCAGACCTATGGCATTCAAGCAACACTGAACACCAAAGCCTTACTAAGAGGTTGGAACATGGGTACCACAAAGGTCTCATCGAGCCCCTATGGTTTTAGCTCTTCACTTGCAGAATCAATCACTAACATACACATTACCACATGGAAAATAGAAAGCCAGTGGGAGTTTGCTGTATGACGTAAGGAACCCAAAGCCAGTGCTCTGTGACAACCGAGAGGAAGAGGAGGGTGGGAGAGAGGTACAAGAGGGAGGGACATATGTATGCTGATGGCCAATTCATGTTAACATATGGTGAAAAACCAGCGCATTATTGTAATTATCCTACACTTAAAAATAAAACACAAATTACAAAAAAATCAGTAATACCCAGGCAGACCCATTACACGGTTACTAGAAGATCACCTACTTACCAAACTCAGAAGCAAGGCTCACACTTCCGTGAGGCTCTACGGGGAAGGGGAAGACAGGTCACCCAAGAAGCTGCTGTGGCTCTCAGACCCGGAGACTACAAGAAGGGACACACACACAACAGAAGGCTCTGAGACACAGCTTCAACCATGGGGTAATGAAACCCACCTCACTGGGCTACAAGCAGAGCAGATGGGAGGGTATCTGCCGAGAGCTCTAAAAGTGTTATACAAATGTAAACACACCAATACACAATCGCCTGCCTGTGAACTGCTAGGAGGTCATTGCAGCAAGCAATCCAGCGTGGTCAGCCACAATTAAAACCAGGATAGATCTTTCCTGAACAAGATTTTAGACTTGTCAAGAATCCTAGGAGATTGAGCTGACAGAGGGACAATATGTGCAAACTGTTGCAGAGGCTACAAATTAACGCAACCTCATATTTGTATGGGCTATAACATTTACAGAGCATTTTCTTTCCTTTACCTCATCTCAGCCTCACTAGTGGTTAAAGGAGCAAATATTGCTAGATCAAATTTCACAGAAAAGGTATTCGAGGTTAGAGAGACCGACTGACTTGCCTTGACTCAAACTGCCAGTGTCATAGGGAGAAGGTATTAAAGAATCTGCTTGCCAATGCAGGAGATGAAGAGATGCAGATTCGATCCCTGGGATGAGAAGGTCCTCTGGAGTAGAAAATGGCAACCCACTCCACATTCTTGCTTGGAAAATTCCATGGACAGAGGAGCCTGGTGGGCTGTAGTCCATGGGGTCACAAAAGAGACACGACAGCACACACATGCACACACACACACACTCTTATCCACACACTTATCCATTTTCAAAAGAGGAAGAATTCCTTACCTGTTAAAACTAGCTATCTTCTGTATGCCAAAGAGAACAATGGGTAAGAAGGGAAAGGGGAAAACTGTTTAAATAATAATGATGATGACGGTGATGGTAAAGAGGTCACGAAGGAAAAGCCTGAGAATGTGGCTGCTACTGGAGAAGAAGCAACAGTTAGAACTGGACATGCAACAACAGACTGATTCCAAATAGGTAAAGGAGTACGTCAAGGTTGTATATTGTCACCCTGCTTATTTAACTTATATGCAGAGTGCATCATGAGAAACGCTGGGCTGGAGGAAGCACAAGCTGGAATCAAGACTGCTGGGAGAAATATCAATAACCTCAGACATGCAGATGACACCACCCTTATGGCAGAAAGTGAAGAACTAAAGAGCCTCTTGATGAAAGTGAAAGAAGAGAGTGAAAAAGTTGGCTTAAAGCTCAACATTCAGAAAACTAAGATCATGGCATCCGGTCCCATCACTTCATGGGAAATAGATGTGGTAATAGTGGCTGACTTTATTTTTCTGGGCTCCAAAATCACTGCAGATGGTGACTGCAGCCATGAAATCAAAAGACGCTTACTCCTTGGAAGGAAAGTTATGACCAACCTAGACAGCATATTAAAAAGGAGAGACATCACTTTGTCAACAAAGGACCATCTAGCCAAGGCTATGGTTTTTCCAGTGGTCATGTATGGATGTGAGAGTGGCACTATAAAGAAAGCTGAGCACCGAAGAATTTATGCTTTTGAACTGTGGTGTTGGAGAAGACTCTTGAGAGTCCCTTGGACTGCAAGGAGATCCAACCAGTCCATCCTAAAGGAGATCAGTCCTGGGTGTTCACTGGGAGGACGGATGTTAAAGCTGAAACTCCAATACTTTGGCCACCTGATGCGAAGAGCTGACTCATCTGAAAAGACCCTGATGCTGGGAAAGATTGAGGGCAGGAGGAGAAGGGGACGACAGAGGATGAGATGGCTGGATGGCATCACCGACTCAATGGACATGGATTTGGGTGGACTCCGGGAGTTGGTGATGGATAGGGAGGCCTGGCATTCTGCGGTTCATGGGGTTGCAAAGAGTCGGACACATCTGAGTGACTGAACTGAACTGGAGACAGCTGTCAGTGCAGATGGGAAGTTTGGGGACAGAAAGAAAAAGAGGAGACAGGACCTACTATATTGAGTGGGTAAAGAATACTCTTTAGGAAGCCTAGCAGTTTAATGGCCAACACACACTTTGATAACCTCTTCAAGAAGCATGCAGTGAAGACAGACATTACTCATTTAAGTCTTTTGGAGTTGAATTTGAGTGTGTTTTGTTTCCGCTGGCTTTGCTGCTGTTCTGTTTTGTTTTGATGGTGCCTTAAGACAAAAGCAGTTACATCTGTGTTACAACGGCAAGTGGCAGGGTGTAGCCTGTGACTCTGTACTTCCGCTTTCTACCCCAGCGCTTCTCTATGACAACACACTGCCTTAAGCACTGTGGACTTGATGGGGACAGTCTTTTCAGAAGTATTTGTAACTATCATCTCCGAATATATAGCACAGCAACATGTATCTCAGTACTGTTAGTAATGCTTTCATAATGCTATTTTTTTTTTAAGAGCACTTTGAGTTTATTTCTTATTTTGATTAAAACTGCTACATCTACTTTCTCCTACCCACTCTTGTTTTGTTCTGCTTTTCTATTATGTTTGCAAAAATGTTAACCCATATAAAGAGGATTCATCCAAGGTGCCTTCCATAATCATTCCTTTTTGCATAAGGAGGTAAAATATTCTTCATAGGAAGTAGGAAAATAATTTCTTTCATTTATTAATCCAATTAAAAATAATGAGTGCTAAACTAAAATTACCAACCAAAATACCAAAGATGAGCAAAACAAATGCCCCCAACTTTTTCTGTGAGAGAAAATCCTCTCTGCTCATTTTAAGATAAAACAGTGCTGGGAACACAAAAATCAAACATGTTGATGTACTGGAACCAACTATACCAAATACATTCCTAATGTCAGGAACATATATCGCCAGTAAAACAATGATAATATTGAGAGCTAAAGTGATCAAAGAATGGCGAATCCATGAGAATGGAAAATTGGAAAAAAACATCATCATTAAAGCTTTCCTTGCAGGGAAGTGGATTAGAGGGACTGTCAAAAGCACAGAAAATAGTATGCATAACTTCACAGTCATGATGACAACATCATGTGGCAAGTATTTACTGTAACCTTGCAGTAATTCTGACGCCACATTGTCATAAAAAGTGAGGTACCCAAAGAGTGCAGATACAAAATAAATGAGAAAATTTAAAGCAATTGCTGTATTGGTTACATTCTGCATCCTTTTCTTAGAAGGGCTTTGAAGTTCATAGTATATGGGCAGTATTGAGGTGTGGCATAGAAATGAAAAAGCCATGGTTGGTATGGCATAAGCACTCTCTTTGGAGAAATGAAAGAGCTTTGGTTTACAATCATCTGTAGCATTTGAAATCTGGAAATACTGTTCTACATAATTTAATGTCAGAGGACAAGGGATGGACCATTTTTTAATTATTACCACAAGAGCAAAGAACACCATAAAGAAAAATGATAAACTACTTGTGTAGCCAAGAAAGCCTATTTTAGGAAGAAGTGCAAGAGGGAACACAATGCCAACACAAATGATTATTAGTAGTGTGTCTCCATCAAGATACCAAGACCGTCAGTGCTTCCAGCTTCCCCGCTCTTCCAGCCAATCTTTCACATCCAGAAATTTCTTCTCCACTCTTCTCGAAGAGCTGGCTCATATCTGTCCTGCTCTTTCATGCCCCCATGGAAAGCAAGGATTGACACTCTCATAATGCTATTTTTTCAAATGAAATCCTACAACTACACCCTAAGATGGGCTCACAGAAGTTAAATGACACTTCAAGGTCACAAAGAGAGCAGGGAGCAGAGCCAGGACTTAACTCATCATTCAGCATGCTTTTCTGTAGGTTGATGCTTTTCAGGACAAGCATGGTGATAACAAGATAAGAAATGTATTTCTAATCTCATTTGTAATGCGTTAACAAAAGTTAATCTTACGCTTTTCCCTAAGATGTTCAAAGTTCTCTCTCTTGTCTACTTAGAGATGATGAGACTAGCAAAAATCCTGTAGAAAAATTAAAGTAGAAAATTGTTCATGGCTGTTATGGTGCCTTAAGTCTTGTTAACCACCTCACTGAGGATAAATGAATCTGACTAACCCTTAAAGCACAACCCATACAACCTCTGGACAGTATGGTAATTCTAAACTGGTGGATACACTCTGAAACTGGTATGAAGTTTAGGTTTGATGGTCTTCTCCTCAGAAACCTTCAGACTCTCATTCTCCACTGCTTTTCAGACTCTCCACTGCTTTTGATTAAAATTTCAAATCCTTAAATGAGCACTCAGGGCCCTTTATAGCCTATTAATAGACATTCTCTGCTTGCATCCTATGCTTCATAAACCACTCCTCACTCCGGTATTTTTCCATCCACACACCTGTGGCAGTGCCGCTCCTCTTGCCAGGCATATCCCCTCTAGTCAAAAACAGCGAAAATACAATGTTTAGTTTTATGTTTCTGTTTCTTTTCCCTTATCTGATCATAAGCGCCTCAAGCGCAAAGATCACAATTATTAATCACTGCATCCTCCAAACACTTTGCCTTGTGCATTGCCCAGGAAGAGGAATACAGTAGGACATCAGATAATTATGGCATTTATGAGAGAATAACCTCCAGTTTTTTTTGTCTTAAGACAACAGCCATACTGTGAAAAAAACTGATTCTAATACCTTTAAAATAATGCATCCATATGTCTTAAGACTGTCAATATTCAAGAGAACCAGGGCTCAAACCAACTATATAACTGACTTTCTATTAACTATCTTTCCATATACCCATAGTCCAAGAATTCTGTAATAAAAGGAAGTGACAGTTTGGGAATGTGGCACTTGTTGTTAATAAAATGAAGCACTGCCTTTGGGCCGAAGTGGCCGTGCCTTCATTCAGACTACAAGGTGGAAGATGGTAACAGCTTTGAATCATTGGGCCCAACAGGCTGACTGACTCCTGACATTAATTGAAATATGATAGGTTGAGGCAGTCTATAAAAACTGTATTATTAAAAAGATGAATACTCAGGACAGTAGTTCCACTGTGAAAAGGGAGAAGAGCCAGGCGGAAACTTGACTTGCTAGTTTTACAGGTATGTTCACTGAAAACTTATCAAGTATATAGTCACGGTTTCTGCCATTTTCTGTATGCATGCTATATTGCGATAAGAAGTTTTTATAAAACGAATGATGACTAAAGAACTTAACTAATATTAAGAAAGCATACCGCTTAAAGCAAGGTCTGAAAATAACATTTAAAATCAGATAAGATGAAGGAGGAACAAATTAAAACTTTAAAAACTCATTTATTTATTTCAATCCCAGGTATGCTTTCTTCATTTCAGTACTTCCTCATTCATTAGTTCAAGTAAGGCACCAGCATTTAAAACTCTAGCTTTTCACTTCTCTGCTTAAAAGTTTCAGAGAAAATTCTGGAATTCTTATTACTCAATCTAAAGACTTCTCTTGTACCTATGAGCAGAAAATATAGTTTATCAAATGGTTCAGTTTCCAGAATGTTCCCTTCAGCTGTGACCTTTGCATTAACTGGTTCATTCAGTTTACTCTTTAATTCAAGCATCACCAGTGCTTTCTACAGAGAAGGCAATGGCATCCCACTCCAGTACTCTTGCCTGAAAATCCCATGGACGGAGGAGCCTGGTAGGCTGTGGTCCATGGGTTCGCTAAGAGTCAGACACGACTGAGTGACTTCACTTTCACTTTTCACTTTCACACATTGGAGAAGGAAATGGCAACCCACTCCAGTGTTCTTGCCTGGAGAATCCCAGGGATGGGGGAGCCTGGTGGGCTGCCGTCTATGGGATCACACAGAGTCGGACATGACTGAAGTGACTTAACAGCAGCAGCAGCAGCAGCAGCAGTGCTTTCTCTCAGCTGGACATTGTGCTATATACTAGGGATTAATTGAATAATGAACAAAATATCTGTATCCGATCCTTATGGAGTTTAAATTCCAGTAGAGACAGATTATCAGCCAATTACAATGCAGCGACAACAGTATTAAGGATAAGGTACTAAGGATCCATCTAACCCAGAATGAGGGGCAGATGGGTGTGGGTGGGGTAGATGCAGGATTTCCAATAAAAGTAATATCTAAGTTGAGAAGAAAAGGAAGTTTGTTCTATGAATGTGTAATATGAAGTCCTAGGGACAAGACAAAGAGAAAAGAAGAATAAAAAATTAAAATTAAGTTTATTTCTCTGTAGTCTGATCCAGACCATCTTCAATCCCATGAGAATTTCTTCTAACTAGGAAGTAGTCAATTTGTTAATTATGCTGTCAGTCTCTGAAAATCATTATTTGCCTTAACATGATTTTACGTAATATTAAATAGTATCCTTTGTCTTTAAAAATCCCAGTTTTTTTTCCTGTAAACTTAATTTTTATTATAAAGAAAAATAAAAAGCAAAGAGAACAGTAAAGCACTCATCAAATTAAAGTGTTTGAAAATTACAGCTAGTTAAGGTAACTGAAAAATACTCTCAGGTCGATTGGAGAAAACTCTGAGTGGCTGTCAATACTACCTTACTGTCTTATTTTGATATTCTGTGATCTTGTAAATAAATATTAAATAAACAGTATTTATTATCACTTTTTCCCTATGGAAAACTTTAAAAGTACAGAAAAATATTAAAAATGAAAATCATCTAGATATGAATGACTGTTAAATCCTTAAATGTTCTTTCCTTAGTCCATAATTTTACCAAGTTAGGGGTCATATTCTATATACATTTCTATAGAATATTTGTGTCCTCCCAAAATTTGTATGTTCAATTACAAAAGATAGAGTTCCTTATAAAAGAAATTCCAGAGAGCTCCCTTGCCCCTCCTGCCATATGAAGTCACAGTGAAAAGACAACCTTCTATGAACCAGGAAGCAAGGACAGACCTGAATCTGCGAGCAACTTGACCTTGTACTTCCTAGACTCCAGAACTGAGAAATAAGTATCGTTGTTCACAAGTCACCTAGACAATGATGTTTTTGTTACAGCAACCTAAACAAACTAAGACGTGCATTTTGAATTATTACAGTTGATTTATTTCAGGTATTAAAAAAAATACAGATATGGACTTCCCTGATGGTACAGCGGTTAAGAACCCCTGAGACACAGGTTCAGTCCCTGGTCTGGGAAGATTCCACATGCCGCAGGGCAGCTAAGCCCATGTGCCATGACCACTGAGCCCACACTCTAGAGTTCATGCTCTACAACAGGAGAAGTCGCCCGCACACCACGAGAGAAGCCCCTGGTCACCGCAACTAAAGAAAGCCCTCATGCAGCAACAAAGACCCAGCACAGCCATAAATAAATAAGTAAATGTTTTTTAAAAAACCACACAGATAGTAATAGAACTTTACAGATACAACAGAAGCTCCCTGTGTAATTTTTCCTATATAATTCCTCTCTTTCCTTCTCAAAGGCAACCACTATCTTGAATTAGGTGTTTCTCAAATTCTTGTACTTTATATTATTTTATATTATTACCACATAAACAATGCATCCATTATAAAGGACTGTTCTGCACTGTTCTAAAATTTATTATTTTATATTATTTTTGTACTATTACCACAAAGTATCCAATGTAACATATATCCAATATAACATAAGAGGATTGTTGTGTATGTTCTGAAACTTTGTATAAATGAAAAATATTGACCATAACCTGAAACTTGCATTATCCCATTTCCTATTAAGGCTGACATTTATTCCTTTTGACATTGTTGCTTAGTTGCTAAGTCATGTCTGAATCTTTTGCAACTCTGTGGATTGTAGCCAGCCAGGCTCCTCTGTCCATGGGATTTTCCAGGCAAGAATACTGGAATGGGTTGCCATTTCCTTCCTCAGGGGATCTTCCTGACCCAAGAAAAGAACCTGCTTCTCCTACATTACAGGTGCATTCTTTACCACTGAGCCACCAGGGAAGCCCTACCTTTGACATGTTTTCCTCTAATTCATGGATATTCTCAGTTTTATAGT